GGCACACTAAATAATTGCGGTCACCGATACGTTTAAAATAATAATAATAATATACATGTTGCAAAGTAAGTTTCGCGAGTAACGGACGTTTCGATGTAAAAACGGGCACAATCGTTGAACGATGTATAGAATAGTCGCGAGATTCGCCGCAACCTCGAATTAATTAAAGCACGCGATGTGGGAAACTCTCCCGTGTTACAAACGTGGCGCGTCCGTCCATGCGTCATGATTATAAATGGTAGAATTTTGCTCGCGTTAACCGCCAGTGTGTTCTTGGTATGCATTAAATACGACGTCGTAAGAGCGTCTACGGTATATTGGCCTGCTCGTTTGCGGCGTGATATATTAATTTATTTGCGTTAATGCACTGTGTGATTGCCGAGAGTTTCCGAATCACTCTCGTGTGAAATCGGCCCTGTGTTTCGTATACCGGATGTTCTTAAAAAATACGTAAATATAACAAATAATAATAATAATAATGACAACCTTTTTAATAAAATTGTATATATACAATTCTGTTTCCTTGTTCTTCTTCCTCGCATCTTAATCTTTTTATATTATTGTTTACATTACATTTTCAAAAAACCGACATATATTATCTTTATTTACTTTAAAAATCGAATTTATTAATCAAATATCTTATCAAACATATAACGAGAATTATATGCGCTTATTTTTTTTTGTAGTATAACAACATAAAATAGTTAGATGCAGAGATAAATGTCTTATTTGTTATAAAATCTTGTAACAATTAATAATTGAATTATTAATGTGAAGAATATGTGTATATATTTTTAAATATCTTTGCAATATTAATGTGAAAAATACGTTTTTAAAGAATTTCAAGAGACTTATCGGTTGTCAGCGGAACGACTGTATTATTACTAGAGCAAAGTGTTCATAATTTAAGAAAATCTGGCTAATACCACACATCGTCTGTGGATATATTCTGAATAATGGTTTTTAATAATCCAAAGTGAAATTCATAATTCATGCCGCTGATTCGGTTCGCATTTCTGGCTTGCTGATATTTTCGCTACGCATTGCCGCTTTTATATTTCTTTTCTTCAAAACGACGGCTACTCTGTTGTCGCATAAGGAATTGGCTCGTACTCTACTTCCTACGTGGAGAGGAAATAAAGCTGAGCGAGAGATTATGGTCATTTTTGATTTATAAGTCGCGACTATATTAGATTTCACGATCGTAGAAAAGATGTTGCAAGATATACAAAACAGGTGCATTTGTATACATGTGCATTTGAACAGAATAAATTCTCGTGAAACAGAACGATATTTTCTAATAGAAAAAATAGAATAACTTTTTCGTTAGCAAAACTGGATAAACATCTTCTAAAACCTAATTTTTTGTAAAGTTTGATCTTTATACTTAAGTTTAAAGTTTTTGTCTTTTTAATAAGGTTGTCTTATAAAATAATCGAAATTAAATAAAGAAAAGAAGGTTTTTTTTTTCTAATTGCATACCAAAAGCTTTATTGAAACAAATCTTAAAGATTAAAAGATTAATGTGACGATATTTATATCATTTAGAAATTTCAGATGTAACATAGTGAGATTAATGTGAGATTAATGTTTAATAAATTCAATATTGGAAATTGCTGTGACTTTTGTAGCATAAGGCAAAATTGTGATGTATCGTAACTGTTCCATGGAATATCACCTTTTACTATATCGGTATCGCAGCGCAACATTGTTCTGATCAGCCTTTGTGGTTTCATCTGCGAATATCGTCGTATTTTCCATTCAATGGGATATGACATATCCTTTGTGCGAATGTAATTGGGTAAATTAAATTTCCCGTTGCATGCTTCTGCCGCGATTAAATCTGATATGCAAAGATAACTTAAAACGATTTTTACAATTTTAAAGGACGTATATATATATATAATTTCTTATGTTATATATTAATATAAGAAATTTTTTATAAATTGACCTGTGTGAATACACGATATTATTATACGTTAATGCATATACGATAATAAAGATAAAGGATAAAAAGTTGCAAAAGTTTTCTTTCAATTTACTCGTATATCTAATATAGCTACATATCTAAATAGTGATGAGTTTTAAATAGTAATGATACTGTTTTGATTCTTTTGTTTTTGGGAACTATAAATTAATGTATTATTATTACCTTTCTATAATTATATTGAAACAGTACTTGAAGAAAAATATTTTTAGGAGGAGCGATGTGTATGATAATATTTTGGTTAGACACAGGACTGTGCCTTGATGCGTTTCTCTATGCCGTTTATGTATTTCTCTATGAAAGTTTACAGTACCTCTTGCGTAATATTTTCCAAGCTACAGCACAGGCCAGCAGAAAGTAAAGCTAGACTCGCAATATAAATCGAATATCCCGAGACCAACGAGAGCGAAACGAAGCAAATCGGTTTCAGGCAATCCTGAAGAATCGAAATTGAAGTCATATATTTTCTTGAAAATATGATCATCCGGCAATGTTGGGAGAATATCAGAACACATGAGAGACGCGAACAAAGCTCGCGTTAGAAAAATTTCGCCGGAACAGCTTTGTTTTATAACAAAAATTTACACCGCAAGAATACGGGAGTTCTCATAGAATTCATATATACATCTAATATTTTGTCCAAGTGTTTCTGGTTTTCAATAAAAAATATTTTATTAAAAGGTATATTTTTCTGCAACATTTTTCGGTATCAAAAAAAAAAAAAAAAAATGAAGAGTTTTTTGCATGTATTATAAGTGAATTTTTTATGTATTAAACTTCAAAATTATGAATGTATAAATCTTACAATCTCTTATCGTACGGTAGGCATCAAATAATGAAGAGTTTTTTGCATGTATTATAAGTGAATTTTTTATGTATTAAACTTCAAAATTATGAATGTATAAATCTTACAATCTCTTATCGTACGGTAGACATCAAATAATACTAATCACATGACAAATGCCTAATAAATGACTTTCTGGTTTTCATTTTAATGCTGCAACATAGGAAGGATGTTGTACGGGTTCTTACGCTTCTCATATCGATATACGCGCAGCTTTCATGACCGGATGAAAAACGTGAAACGTAAGCATATATGGCGAGCTCGATTGTCCGACGTCGAACAATAAGAAGGACCGTACAATAATGGCCATAGGCATGGCATCGCGCGTTGAATCGTATCGTTGTTCGAAAGTCTCGCTTTATATGTCTCTCCTTCCGCGAGAACCATGTCCCCATCGTGGCATACCTGTAATAATGCAAGGTTATCAGAATGTCCGAGCCGTTTGCTCTGCGCATTATGAGCCGGCAGGTGCGCGAAGTAAGCGCGCATTTTCCATCCTTCCCGAATGCGTACACTTTTCTATGGAGGTGCAAACTGCATGGTGTTTCTCGCTCGCGTGGATTTCAATTGCCGTCGAAAGGTCACTGGTCCGTGAAGAACCGTATTTTGATCCAGGCCAGGGGGCACCGTTAATTACGCGACGATTTTTCGCGTGGAGTAGTGGAACGCAAATATACGCGCATTCCGATCATGTAAATTTATTTATAAGAAATAACGTTTCCGACATACTCTGTTATCTACAAAGATTTGTCGGTGCTATTTCTCATTACAAGAGTTTGTCGTTGATTTTTCTTTTTCAATGAATATATTTGTTTTCCTATTCCGAGAGCGATCCAATTATAATCCTAATGTTTAATTCATCAAAACAATTTTAATTTTAAACACAAATTTATAGCTTTTATATTTAATTTTCGTAAATTTTGTTATTTCATAAAGTTGTTTAATTAGTCTCCTATTGTGATTATATACAAGGTTCTAGGTCACTCCGGAGACTCTCTGGTGTGCCAAATTACGCTCACTGGCAGAAGGTGAGACCTGTAAATCGTACAGCATATCTTTAAATTCCACAGACAAATTTTTGCCCGCGTTCAAGCAGCAGCATTTTTATATAGAGTTATTCCTTCATTAACTTGCGTATGTCACATAAAATATATGCGTCATACGCAAAAGTTTCAATTTTGTCTCGACGAAGATATATGGATTTTCATGAGAATAGAAAAAGCATAATCTTAATTTTCATACGTCTCATTATGATGACGAGATAGTATCTCTTTTTTTCCACGCGCATATTAAAATAGCGGAAGAAGTTATTTTTACAGGTAAATTCTATTAAGTGACTCGAAATTACGATGCAGAGAAGTCGCGATATACATGACTTAATTTCAACGCAATCAAAATTATATCTCGCGTATACTTGAATGTTGAAACACAACGACGATATAAAGAATACAAGAGAAAACTGTTCGTTATATCAAGACAAACGTTTCTAGATCGACAGCCGATTGAACCTTCAGTCGGATAATAAGGCATCCGGCTTTGCAGAAATTGCTTACAAACACAATGGTCTCTGCTAACGAAGACATTGTAAGATATCATGCCAGAAGATTACCCAGCTCACTTACACATGTAAAATATCTCGAAAGATACTCAAAACATCTGTAAAAGTCAGAAACAAAAACTATTTTAAAGCGTCCAAATAAGTTAGAAAATAAATAAACAAAGCAAAAACTATAAAATATAAGTAATATAAGAGGATATAATTAAAAAATAAAAATTTGACAAAAACAATATAAATGATTTTTAATTCTTTTTATTGTATAGAAATATTATAATAATCTATGTTTGTTTCTGTTCATGAAAGAACAAAGATTTCAATTTAAACATAATATGGATAAATACATGATACTATCATATTTATAATAAAAGTTGCTTCAAGAATTATTGCTTGTTTTGTATTTTCAATTATTTATTGTCGCTGCTTTGATATTATTTTATCAGGAAATAAATATATACAATATCTATTGCTTCAATACCTATTGCTATGATCTTTCAAAATAGAACGGGAGAAAGCATACATATTTACAGTTGATCGTCGTTAATCGTAATTATTCGTATTAGATCGGCGTGTTTGAATTTTAAGGGTGAACTTCAACGAATAACGAAAACGTCTTATTGTCTAGTTAGCATACGACTGTTGTATCTGATGAATCCTCGGATAATAAAAGCATGTCTCGCTTATCGTTATTGTAAGTCGTATTTTTTTAAACATTATTTTTTTCCAATGTATTATATTATTTTCTATTAAATCAAAGTTTAATTATATTCATATACATATCAGATTTACATAATTACATGTGCAATTAATAATAAGTAATAATAAGTTTAAATGTCTAATAATGTTATACGTGCAAGTTCCTAATTTTACATTATAATATAAAAATAACGAGAATAAATTAAAAGATTTTTTTTTTTCTTTACTGTCCTGCTGTGAAATGTTTTTGAAACTTTTATAATGATTTTCTTCCGTTTGCGTAATCCTAACAACGGTTGTCGATTGTTAATTTAGTTTCCGTTTCTAGACTATTCTGTTCAAAATATTTTGCGTGTACACAAGTAATTGTTATCCGAATTTATGGGATAACACGCAAGTTTATGATCTTGATAACGATAACTTTTGCAAACACAGCAGTGCATTGTTTCTTTACGTTGTGCGATGAACGTTCATTAATAAATCACTTGGCTTTTTGCAGATATTTCGGAATAATTGCCATAACGGTATTTGGCGTTAATGGTTATATAACGTACTTGAATATACCATGTGAACCATGTCTTAAAGATTACCGTAACAAAGAAACATATTACAAAAGCAAGGAATTTTGTGAGGGGTGTATTCCAAATTATAACAATTTCGGTATGTTAACAAATACCGATACAATATATAAGCAAGATTATAATATCAGTGATTTAACTATAATATACATTATTATTATTATTATTATACAGGGTATCTCACGAGCGAACCGACAAACTTCTAGAATGTGTTCTAGAGGTCATTTTCAGCAAAAAAGTTCATATATTTTATAAGTCAATTCGACTCAGTTATCGAGATATAGATAATTTTATTAATATTGTAACAGACAAAAATTATCAGGCATTTATAATTTTTATGTGAATATTATTCTTTTAATCATATTAATTCTTCAAACTTGACGCTTTTAAACAATCTACTAAACTATCAATGTACGATGTATACAGAAATTTGTAATAATAATATGGCTATGTGCGATAGCCTTAGCACTATTCAAACATCAATCTTCAATGTCAAATAGATATTTGGGGTAACATACTGCGTATCTGACAGAAACCGATGTTTTGAGCGAGGCGGAATCGGTATCAGAAATTTGCGTTACTGACAAGAATTAAATTCTTCATATCTCGTTAAATGAGCCAAATTGATCTATAGTGTGTATTAATTTTTTTGCTTAAAATGACTTTTAGAACACATTCTAGAAGTTTGTGGATTTTCTCGCGAGACACCCTGTATATATCATATGATGAGAATTTTTGAATATCGAAATTGAAACGGTTTATAGATAGGATATATTAACCTAATAACATATTGCAAATATCGCAAATATATTTATGAATATAAAAGCCGTTTAAAGAATTATTTAATTTAATATTAATCGCGTGATATTTCCGTAATAAACAAACTTGATTTATTTCTTAATATTTTTGTAAGTTAGAGATTTTTATCTTTTATTCATACATGTTATATATTTGCTTTTTATAATATAAAAATTAATCTATCATTTTCGTGGTAGCAAACGTTCAGCTTAAATTTCAGATTTAAACTTTTTTTTATTAATAATATATAATTACATCTAAATATAAAGAATAAAAAAATATATATATACTATATATATACTATATACATACATATACATACAGACATACATATATATATATATATTTTTTTTTTTTTTGTATGTAGGATATTCCTCTCTAGATAAATTTAAAAACATATTATTAAAATATAAGGGCGATTCCAATAACCCTTGCACCAATTTTTACGGATACGTCTGCGATATTTGGGACAAAGCCAATTCTCTGTTTCAGTCGAAATGGTCTATAAAAGACTATAACCAGTATACGACTTATCATCGTATAAAACGTATGTACTTATCTCTCTGCTATGTGAAGTAATGTATAATTAAATTCTCACATATACAAAAAATGCTCTGAAAAGCATCTAGCAGTATTTCAATTGTCTTAAAAATTTAAGACGAAAAACGTTAGCAACGTAATATTATAAGTTTTTTTTTAGTGTTTCTGGAAAAAGAAAATACATATAATAATTTCCTATTCGTAAAAATGGCCAAACAATTGTATCGATCATGCATAGATGAAGGTACAAACTAATTATTATTTATATTATTTATTTTTATTACTTTATATTATTATTCTTCATTCTTTCTAACTATTAATATCTAACAATTTCACAATATATTTACAATAACTAATATCAAACAATTTAAAAAACTACATTACATACGTGTTTTAATGTGGCTTAATCAACAAATTATTAATAGTTATTTTTAAATAAATTTTGGAAATATGTTTGCAATTATTTGACACTACCTTCATTCTTTTACATCGGTCGCATCACAGACTCTCGTGAAAGAAGAGGATTAAAACCTATACAACAAATGTTGGATGCCACTGGAGGATGGCCAATTCTAATGTCTGAAGAAGAGTGGGACGCGAAAAATTATACTTGGCAAAAGATGGACAATGATTATTTTAAATTGTACACCTTTCCTATTCTTTTCAACATATTATTTTCAACTGATTATGAAAATCCTCGTATTATGGTATATATTTCTATTTACATTCTATATATACTTATATGCGTATGTATTTTTGCTTGCGTGCATGGGTATATGCGGATACGCATGAGTATATGTGCCTATAATACTTATATACTTTTAGTTACGACGGCAAGATTATAAGATATAATATTATACATCAGAGAATAAAGCAATAACAAGTACCAACATATTTAATATAAACAAATACGGTTACAGATACTGTCATCGCTTCAACAACCTCTCGGTAACAAAATACAAATTGATACACAACAATTGCCTTACGATATGTATATGAACACAATAATGAAGGTAGTATGTGCTTTCGCAAAAGACAAAGGAATTCAGATTCCGGTGCAGAAACTGCTCATGGATGTAGGAAACCTAATGGAATTCGAAATAGATCTTAAAAACGTAATTATTCATACTAACGTTATGTAAGAGACTTTAACTAATAATATATTTCAAATAAATCCATCTGCTAACATCATAGATTATTGGATACAACGAAAAAAGCACTCCAGTTGGTAATAAAATGACGATTGCGGAATTACAGGAATATTACGACCTTGCGGGAGCTCAACATGCCACAGCGAAGGTAATATTAATATAAATATCATTTTTACAATAATCACTATAAATAATTAAATTCCATTATTAATATTTTTGTATGTTGACTATATTCGATTTTATATAGTAAAATTTAACTAAACTTTATCTATTTGACAAATAAAACATAGCATAAATGTAATATTCTCAATAAAATTGAGCATACTTATTAACATACAATATTTGTTTTCTAATCCAAAAATAAATATTAATATCTCAGTATTACTATTTAATAAAATTATGTTTGTAATCGCATTTCTATCTATTGATGTTTATAATTCTTTACAATACACGAATGTATCGATATCATTTTAGATTAATTGGCTGGATAAAATACAAATTGCTTTCAAATTTTTTGACATAACTATAGACGCTTCGGAAACTGTCCTCATCTTTAATAAAGAAATTTTACATAAATTGGCGCATTTGCTAGACATCACACCGCAACATGTAATCGGTAACGTAACATCAAACAATATTTCGGTTGTAGAAATCCATACTTAATTATTTTTCCACAGTTAATTATTTACAATGGCACGTCGTGAGTACATTTATGGGTAATTTGAATAAACAAATGAGAGATATTGAATTAGATCTTTATTATTCATACGATATTAAACTTCATGATAAGCTAAAACAAGAACAGCGGTGAGTTGTGAATATTAAATGTGAAATGTAACTTCGGATTTTTTGAATAGAATTTCAATAAAATATTTTTTTTTATCTTGTAGATGGTTAAAATGTATTAAGGCATTTGAGATGAAAGATATCGTCGTCTTACCGTTTATCTATGGCTCAAAAACATCTACTTCGATAAATGAAATGTTAAATGTAAATTTTTATACATAAATCCATTCTGTTTAAAAATATTAATTAAAAATAACAGAAACTAAAATTTCCAAAAATTTTTTTCGTTATTCTTGCTGTTTAAGATACTTGACATATTTGATGACATAAAGAAAGAAATGATGAATTATATAAAATCTTTAATGTGGCTAAATAAGTTGACGAAAAACTTTATGGTACAAAAAATTAATAATATATCACTGAATATTGGTTATTCTGAATGGTACCGGCATCAGATAGTACTCGCACAAATGTATAAAGGAGTAGGAATCGATCTATCGCATAAATGAAGTTAATTTCTTTGTTATATAAATAAGTATAAATGCAAATAACTGTTTTTTTATTCTAGTTGGAGATCGGTAATAATTATTTCACAAATGTATTAGCTATCATAAAGTATCAAAATATAATAAAACAAAGAAGTTTCAGAGACAAAAGTTCATATAGGTTCAGTTTTATTATTAAAAAATTACTTAACTTCAATCAAATATGTGTGTTGTTTGTGTATAAAATATTATATTATATTTATAGGTGGTCATTTGATTTTTTATCTGACAATCCCAGTTATGACCATCACTCTAATGAGATATGTGAGTTTACAATTAGCGTAAAATATTCGGCGGGCGATACATAACATAAAATTAAAATAATATGATATTTAAATAATAATATATAGCAATATATTGTGTGAAAAATAATAAGAGAACACATTACATAAAATCCCACACACACAATTTATCTTAATTATAATACTTTCAGATATACCTGTTACTATAATGCAATTTCCGTATTTGTCAGCCAATGTACATACAGCGTAAGTGCATAAAATACAAAATGTTATTAAGCAAGAGAATAAAAATTTTATGTCATAATTTAAAATTATAATTATGTTTTTCAGTGACGCTAATTACGGCGGAATAGGTTCGGTTATCGGACAACAGTTGGCTCACGTTGTAAATTTGTATATTGGTGAGTTCTAATAAACTTTTAATTTCATTTTCTATCTCATTTATTTTATGAAACTTATAGGATTATATTTCGACAATTATGGCAATTTAAAATTGGATACTGAAATTAGACACGCTTATGAAAAAAGAACACACTGTCTCTTTCTGTCAATTATAAACAATATTGAACAATATCACAGTTTTATTCTAAATATAACGATCAAAAATCCAGAATATATTCAAGTATGTACATCACTGTATCAATTTATGATAAAAATTTGCTTGTTGATATACGTTTTCTTATTTCTTTTCAAATGACAACTAAGAAGTGCAAAAATATGCGCTAGATTATGCGCGGCATACAACCGTGATTAGTTTTTAGTATTTTATATTTCATAAGTACAACACAAGTTTGTGTCGATCGGATATTCATTAAAGTTGATTTTAGTTGTACAAAAATCTTATTAAGGATGAAGGCGTTGCACATTTTATTGGCACACAAATTGCTTTCGCGGCATTAAAAAGAAAAAGTTCATTCCCGATGTTAAGTGACTACCAAAGCTTCAAAATTACAAAAGACACAGCTGAAGATATTAGCCGCCAACCTCGAAAGATTCAGAATATTGTAAGCCAGGAGAGATTGTTTTTTCTCCATAACACAATGGTAAGTATGTCGAGATATGTATATATAACAAATTTATATACGTATGTACTATATATAGAATCTCATTTTTACACGATATTTATATATTATTATCGTAAAAAAAAATATTCAGAAATTATTTTTTTTTCTACGATTTGTATAAATTCTAATTGGATTTATAATTTATTTTAAAGATAACATGCGGGACAACATTTCCTTACAACGAAGATTTTAATAATATCAGGGCTATTAAAGCGCAAATTAACAGCAATCTGGCTAACATAAAGGATTTCTCTGAGGTATTTGATTGTCCAGTAGACAGTCCAATGAACCCTAAATTAAAATGCAAAACTTGGAATGAGGCAACACCTGAAGAGCATTTTTACTACGGAACAAATTAAAAAATCGGATGACACATTATTGATAATTCTGATGAAGCATTATCATCAATGGAGTTTGGATGAATGCTATAATAACATCACTGCATTTGTCTGCTGGCGATTATGTAATGCAAAAAACGAGAAATTGAACATTGAATATATTAGCTGCTATTGCGCATATTTTTTTTTTTTTTATTATAGTTAAACTAGCTCAAAAATACAGAATATGATCGCAGAGATAAAAAGAATTCTATTAGATTATCTTATATAATTATACATTATATA